CACACACACACACACACACACACACACACACACATGCACACATGTACCCACATTTTGCAAAATATTCTCTTTGTCTATGCTCCCCACCCTTCCCCATTCTCTTCTTACTTTTTAACTTTAAAAAATTCAATTCCTACTTCTTTTTGTCTATCCTTGTCCTTTCATCTCTGTCCATCTATTTCTTTTTCTCTCCTGTCATCTAATTTTTGTCTGTACTTCCCCCTAATTTTATTATTCTTCCACACCACGTTTGTATCCCTATGGGTTGGTGTCTGCTAATGTTAACAACCTTTTGTTTTCGAGAGACTGCTCTTTTCCCGTTAATTAGTTTTTCAGTATGATTCTGATACTCTCCCTGGAATAATAATACACAAACGTTGATAACAAGAGAACTGCCATTTTGTAAGTATCCACAACACTATGGTGACCATCGAAAGACAAACTTACATAGGTTCAATAAATAAAATCAATGAGAGTAACCAAAGAAGTTTTCTTCAACACTTTAATATCAAAGTCTGTTTTAAGGTAGACCTATACTCTGATAAGACTTTGAAATACTTTGCCACGAGTCACTCAGACTTTCCCTCTCGTCAGATCTTGGGTGGCGCCCGCTGTAACTGTTTTGCCTGGATGGGCTGAGCTGACTATCCAGACTATCGCTAGTGCTATGATTTCTTGAGGCGGCTCCGATCTGGAGATGTTGACTGCCCTGGCTATTTTCACTGACATCGCTGCTCTGACGACTGTAACTTTGGGAACTAGATCTGCTTGACCTGCTGCTTTGAAAGCTTTTTCTCGACTTTGAGGAACTAGATTTTCTTCTTTCGCCGTTCTGATGGTTCTCCACCAAAGCCACCACACGAAAAGGCTGCTGGCTGCTGCTTGACGGGGTTCGAGAAGAATCGCTGGTAGCAATGCTTTTCTTTCGAAATGAAAACCTATCCTTGGAACGTCGCTCCTGGTCTTTCGTTGGGTCGAAATCAATAGGGCTGGGGCTGACAGAGTCAGATTTGTTCTTTAGGCTGGGATCACTCCACGCATTCCCTGGCTTAGGCGAGATGTCGAAAGTGCCTGGTTTCCTCGAGCTTATGCCGTTGTTATCCTTAGATGACGTTTTCCTATTCTCCTTCGTTCCTAGCAGCTCCCAGAATCCTCGTCGGAAGTTAGAATTGAACCAGCCGTACATGAGTGGGTTGGCAACTGAAGACGACATTGCGATGAGCAGACCAATGGCGTGCAACAGGTTGTATCTCTGTTCTTTGAATACCTGGACACGTACCATGCGTAGAGAAGAGAATTAATGGAACGAGGTGAAAGTGGTTGGGGTAGAGATGGAAGGGGTCATTAATCTTTTGTTGCTGTTGTTGTTGGGGGGGGGGGGAGTTTGTATGTTTGGATTGTTCTTTTTCAATTGGGGAGGGGGGGTGTTGGTTTATTTAAAAAAATTTCGATTTTTCCAAGCTCACTTTTTCCAATCCTTATTGGGCTAAAATTTATTGTTTACAGGTCAATGCAATTTCAGCAGGTCAAATAGCCCGTCTCCGATCAGTGTAAGGTATGACCTCAGAGTTGAAATAATTAAATGTACTTTTTAAAAGGTGCTAAGGGCAATTTCACAATGTTCGACATCTTTGTTTAGATGAACTCTGAATGAAAATTGGATAAAATTACATGTATTCATAGAACTATGCAAGGTATATTATTATCATCATCCGCAAAGACATTCAAAAATGGCTAATTACATGTCACAATCATCCCAGTAATTCTCCTTCACAAGATTCGAAATAAAGATAGCTGTTACTAAGTATTCCAGTGGAAAGTTTGCTTCAAAGACATTTACTTTGTAAATCTGTCCCCACTGCTACGTTATTGATTAGATTGAACGCATCGAGGTCTCAATTACAGAGTTGTAATAAACGGATGAAAAACTGTATGATATTATTGTCATTAAGAAAAACAGTACATTGTCAACAGATCCTCAATATGTTCAGCATGATGAAGTAAGACAAGTTGGCATAAAAAGCGCGGGTGTTCGTCATAGCTAGCCCACGAAACGGCCAAGCCCAGTATGTGGAAAGCCTGCAAAACTTAACAATCTTTAAAGAACCACCTATTTGTGATTTGAACCAGTAGCAATCATTCTCTGTCCAGCATAATACCAACATAATATATTTACCTGTGCAGGCGAGAAATTCAGAAGTAGGAGAACAAGTCTAAAAAGCCAGGCACCGCCTCGTCTACCAGAAATATTTCCGTGAACCTCTAGAGAGTTACCGGGGCTGACTGAAATGTCTTGTGTTGTAGCTCACGGTTTCCAAAACAATCACACTACGAATACTAACGGCATACTAGATAAAAAGCTTAGGATGTTTACTATAAAATTCTGTTTTCGAAACAATCATCATCTCTGTCAACACAAATGCGCTGACAAGTAACATGTCGATGCATCGTGTCAGCCAAAATTACTTTTCAGTTTTCCTTTTTACCACCTCAACACACCAGCTTTTATTTCTGTATCAGCAGCTCTATTGATTTCCCTTCAAGTGTCCTCTAGTGCATTACCACGGGGAATGAATTATGGGTTTGTCATTATAACTACAAAAAAAAACAAGCGAAAAGACGAAAGTCAGTCCGTGGAATGATGGTTCAACAAGTCCCAACAAATTCTAATTTGCACGTTCCGCTACGAAAGAATTCTTGACCCTGTTTTGGGAAGTCAATGTAATGTTTTTAGCAGGGTCACCGTCAACATTGATAAATACGTGGAAATGTTTCGAAAACGTTTGGAACGTTTTTAAAGAGTAAGACCTGGAAGTAATGTTAGTTCTCACTCCCTCACTAATCAAAAGACTATGAACACCATATCGCGTCTCAGATTTCACAAGGTTATACTGCCTCCGTTATTTAATCCAGACCGTGTGCCATTATTTTTCCCCTTTTCCCAAAAAATAATCAATACAACTACGATGTAAAAATCGAAGCTGTTATTCGTATATGGTGCAAAAGAAAAATATTGCTTGAATTTTTCGCCGACAAGATGCAAAGACTCGTTGCTCGTTGGTGCAAATAACAGAGATGATGATTATGCACAAAAATAAAGGTAGCATTTGGGATGAGTCTCGCATACATCTAGTTGTTTCTATCTCCGACTCGAGCCTCTCTACACAAGGAATGATTCATCAAATTCCTCTATAGCTTGCTTTTCTCTCAGTATTGTTTTACATGATGAGGGCGGATATTCCTTGACTATGGTTTGTGAAAATTATAAATCAACTAGCTGGGCCCCCTTTCGATGAAAGGGATGATGGGTACATTAACATCAACTAAAAGTCATTGGCCTACTGCCTCGACCTTTGCGAGCGTGAGGGGTTCCAACTGCAGAGCGTCGTTTTCTTTTCGGCATGGTCAGGCGCTATCTAGATCTAGATTCTAATCTAAGACCTGTTGACGGTGTTCCCAGTAGCAAGAAAAAGAATTTGACAAAGGAGTCCAGAAAAGGCGAGGATGGGCATCAAACGAAAGGATCACAGTCGAATTTAGCACCAAGTAAAGAAAGAAAATATGAGGCTAGATCTATACGGGTCGCACACTTAAAATAGTGCTCAGTATTGCGCGACAATGCGCGATAGTATCGAGCGAACGGAAGTACGACTTGAAATAAACAAACCTGGCGGATTTTCTCAAATTACAGAGACAAAAGTGTCGGCCTACAAAAGCGATCGACGAAATAAAGAAATTTACCTTTATGCCGCAAAACTATCTCAAAACTTAAAAAACGTAGGGCGTCATGATCTGGAGAACATTTTAAAGAATCTTTTGGAGAAAACCGCAGTTCGATCTATCCGGCCATGAAAAAGCCTTTTGAATAGCAAAATTCGGCCACCACAAATAGATAATAGATACAGAAGTTAGGACTATATTAGGGTTAAGGTTTGGCTTTGGGTTTTGATGGTCTATTCAGTTCTCAGTTGATCTTATTTATTGTTTGGAGTGTTGGATCCTTGCAACTGCTTTTAATTAATGTTATCGATTCAAAGGGATCGAAATAAATAATATCTAAAATACTTTAATATATAATAATATGGTGGCAGAGGTGGTTAAAACCCTCTACATTCTTTTCTCCGTATAGATAATAGAAAGAGAAGGAAGCACCTTATCTGAAATCAGATTGCCTCTGCCTAAATGTTTGCATACCTCATGTCCTAGATCTGCCGTGATGTTGAGGATAGTGAGCGGTAACCAGGTGATTGAGAAGGCCAGTGCCATAGCTGTGAGCAGCATCATGGTCCGCCGATGACGTTTCATGTCAGCCTTTGCCTTTGCCGTGATCTGAGTGTCCATCCCAGGTCTCTCCTCCAGGCGGTAGTGCAGAAACTTACAGATACTGGCGTGAAGAAAGGAGATCACTCTGTGGAATAGAAATAAGATCAGTGTTGTAAAAACACAACTATGGTCGTTTTCTAGAATATGTTGTGTAAAGGTTAGACGCTGCACCTCAAATGCGAAAGACATGGGTTTGAATCCCAGACGTAGAAGATATTTTGACCGCCTTTAAGCTAGTAGAGAGTATGCGAGGTAAATAAAAACGAAAGCAAAATAGAAATGGCATATTATGCTGAAAGACGAAGTCATACCCTGATGGCGTGAGGTACTGTATCAGCATGACTGTTGTGGCGTAGATCTGACGAAATAGGTCGTTAGGCCAGTCGTCAATGCATTGCTGGACAAACGTGTGCTCGAATAGCTGGAGAAGAAAAGATTTCACAAGTCAAAAGCAGTTAGAAAACAATGCAAACCTAATATTATTTGACGTCTCAGCATTTATTTATCAGTCCCTGAATAGATCTAGCTTTCATTTTCGTTTTAGTCAGCCTTCCATTTATTGCAATTGGGTATTCAGAGATGTAGTTATTTATTTTATTTTTTAAATTTATTTTTTAAT